TTGATTCATATTGACATTTGGGGGCCATTTCCTGTATGTACTTTGAAAGGGGAATATTACTTCTTCACTTTAGTTGATGACTATTCTAGATTCACTTGGATACATTTGATGAGGAATAAATCCGAGGCAAGACAGTTTGTTAAAAATCTCCATGCTTATTCTTTCACTCAGTTTGGCAGCCTGATTAAAACTATTCGCAGTGACAATGGGCCTGAGTTCAATATGGAGGAGTTTTATCTAGCTAATGGAATCATTCATCAGCGTTCGTGTGTTAATACACCACATCAAAATGCTGTAGTAGAACGTAAACACCAGCACATTCTCAATGTGGCTAGGTCTTTGCGGTTTCAAGCACACCTTCCATTAGATTTTTGGGGACACTGCATCATGCATGCGGTTTTTATCATAAACAGGTTCCCTTCCCCCATTCTTGCATTATCAAGTCCTTATAAAAGGTTGTATGGTAGTGATCCAGATCTGAGCAACATTAAAGTTTTTGGTTGTTTATGCTATGCTGCAACTCTTTCAAATGGCAGGCACAAGATGGCACCTAGAGGACGAAGGTGCATATTCATTGGCATTCCAGCCGGAATAAAAGGCTACATGTTATACAGTCTAGAGGATGGCTCAAATTTTGTATCAAGGGATGTTGTTTTCTATGAGTCTCAGTTCCCTTTGTCAGAAAAAGAGGCCTCCAATCAGAACATTCTAGGTGACGAGCCTTCACTGTCTAATGTTCCTACAAATATGAACCTAGACATGGAGTCACATGGTCAGCTCCAGCACTGATCAGCCAAGGCACCCTCATAATCCAGCAGACAATAGCATGTTACATCAGTATGTACCAGCAGATCTTAGCATACCAAATGAAACTGGGATGCATGAGCCACAGAGTGTCAGCCTTAATAATCAGGAGGTCTGTGACAGCCATAACGACCAAGAAGACACTGACCAGTCTCACTACACGCCACCTGCTCAACCTAGGCGTTCCGATCGAAACAAGCCTGCTCCATGTAAACTGCTGGACTATTATTGTGAAGCTGCCATAGCACAAGGTGCATCTCCTCATCTCCTATCTAAGGTCATTTCATATAGTCACCTTACACTGCCCCATATGAAGTTTGTACTAGTTGTCACCACCATTGATGAGCCCCGAACATACAGTCAAGCCATACATCATAAATGCTGGAGAGATGCAATGGCAGCCGAGATTAAAGCCCTCCAAGACAACAACACTTGGATGTTGGTTGATCTTCCTCCTGGGAAGCATCCAATAGGATGTAAGTGGGTTTACAAGGTTAAACTCAAGGCCGATGGTACAGTAGAGCGTTGCAAGGCCATATTAGTAGCCAAAGGCTACACTCAACAGTTGGGGAAAGATTACATCGAGACTTTTTCACCGGTTGCAAGGATCACTACCATACGTACGTTCCTAGCCATGGCAGCATCTTGGGACTGGCATGTACATCAACTAGACATTAACAACGCATTCCTCCATGGAGATCTAGATGAGGAGGTTTACATGGTGTTACCACCCGGCTTTCAAGGAGAAAAACCGGGGCAAGTATGCAAACTCTTGAGGTCCCTTTATGGCTTGAAACAGGCAAGTCGGCAGTGGAATGCCAAGCTTAGCAAAGCTTTGATTCAAAGAGGCTTTAAACAGTCAATGTCGGATCCATCTTTATTTACCAAGGGCAGTGATAGGGATTTCATATTGTTCTAAATGAAGACTTAACCGTCAAAAATAATAAATAGTTTACGGAATATTTCGTTACTAAAGTTTATACTAACGGAATTTAGGTTATTTAAGGAAGAAAATAATATAATAGAGGGTAAATAAAGAAAATCATTAAAAAAATACTAAAATCAAAATAATATGAACCATTTAAGAAATAATACTACCTATATTTTTTTGTTCCAGTTAAGGGCCTAACATTATTGGCTCTTATTAGAATTGTAGATGTAGATAGAAATGGTTGTTCTTTCACCCTGTGCTTAGTTCAAGAAAAAAGCTCGGAATGAAATACCATTCTTGTATTTAGACAGAGTTTTTTGCACTTTTGGTCCCACGACTATAGTGGCACTATCAGAATTGGTCCACGACTTTCAAACCTTGCTATTTTAGTCCACGACTATTTTTTTTTTTTTTTTGGCAAAAATGGTCCTTCCGGCCACTTTTCCGTCAAAATTCCACCGGAAGTAAATTTCTTCAGTTTTAGGAGGACTAAAATTGCTAAATTTGCCTAGTACGAAAAGTGCAGAATATGCTTTTATATAAAGTGTATTGCAAACCTGGAGTATTGATGTTGTTATTGCAAGCGAAATCTCAAATTTAGCCCTCTTAAAAATGAAGAAATTTTCCTCCGATGGAATTTTGACGGAAAAGTGGCCGGAAGGACCATTTTTGCCAAAAAAACAATAGTCGTGGACTAAAATTGCAAGGTTTGAAAGTCGTGGATCAATTCTGATAGTGCCACTATAGTCGTGGGACCAAAAGTGCAAAAAACTCTATTTAGACATCATCGAGGACTTTTTATTTTCTATATGCCAACTTGATATTACTGCCGTTGGTCTTGTCTTGCTGTGAGGTTGTCATTTGATAAGTCGTCGCTTTATTCAAAACTAGTATTTGTCCCGTGCGATGCACGAAAAATATGTTATAAAAATATTCTCTATATGAGGTTTATTCATATATAAAATTTTTGTTATTTAATAATTATTATGTGTGAATTCCTGTAATAAAATTATGAACATAAATATATTTACAATTAAAATAATATTTAAGGTGGGTGATTACTACAAATCTTAAACTATATTAAAAATTTAGTACATAGTATTTAATATTACAAATTTTTAAGAACTTAGTAAACTACAATAGTAATTGAATTACAATTTTAGAATCACCACGGATCAAATTTTTTAGACCTTTGAGATTTCTAACTCTAGATGTAGCACCATACAATTGACCTTTAAAGACCAAAATCACAATATTAGTTCGAACATTGATTTTTTCTTCCAAATACTATCGAATTAAGTGTGTAATCAATAAAAGATGAGAACTAATAATTCGAGAATATAATCTTAATGTTACTAAGCCACTTCATGTCAATTAAGTTGGAGAGTGTTGTTGGATAGTATCCGATGAATCCACGAATAACGCATCTTTGTCTCCGTAGTCCTCAATATGCACATCAACAATCTTAAATATTAGGCCGCCTAGCTATGCCATATATTAATTTCAAACTTATGAACTTTGGGGTTGCATGCAATAAAAAGTATATTTTAAATATACTAAGGGTACATTATATATGTATGTAAGGTACTTTCAATATAAAAATAATGTATTTTTAATATATTAAAAATGTATTTGATATTCATGATCCATACAATTATGTGGACCATCGTTCACACAATAATTTGCCAGTAGAAATTGAATTATAAATAAATAAATAAATAAATAAATAAATAAATAAATAAATAAATATATATATATATATATATATATATATATATATATATATATATATATATATATATATATATATATATATATATATATATATATATATTAGAAACTGTCCGTGGAAATTATCATTATTATTATTATTATTATTATTATTATTATTATTATTATTATTATTATTATTATTATTGTTGTTGTTATTAGTATTTTTATTATAATTAACAATATTATTATGGTTTTGTGAAAATTAAATGTTGATTATCAACATTTAATTTTCACAATAACAATATTATTATGGTCTTGTGAAAATTAAATGTTGATATTATCACCATTTAATTTTCACAAGACCATATAGCTTTATTATATATAGGATTAATGTATTAGAAATATTTTCAGGTGCGAAGGAGTCGTCAGGTGAAAATACGCAACAATCTCATCAGTTATTAATTTCATCTAATCTACTTGGCTTAAAAAAAAATACAAAAGAATGCACTTGAAAACATAAAAATGTACATTTGAAGACGAAAATTTTACACTCGAAGGCATAAAGATGTGCAATCGAAGCAAGTTATAGTACCAAAAAAGAGAAGTTATTCAGCTTTTAAGTGTTATTGAAGCAATTATCCTTATAAATCGTTAGTAAATCTTACAAATTTCCATTAGAAATTTAGTTATAAATTGTTGAAAGGAATGCAAAAGATATAACAAATAGTCAAATACTGGCTCATAATTGTGCACCCAAAATTCTGCACTAGAAGGCAAAATGATGTGCAATTGATGCAATTTATGATATCAAAAAGGAAATTATTTAACTGAAGTGTTATTGAAGCAATTACCCTTCCAAATCATTTAATTTGTAAATCTCACAAATTTCATTATTTGGTTCTATGTTTGGTTCTAGTTATTTCATTTTTCAAAAAGAATATAAATTCATCTCTGCATCATATTTTTATCCATTTTGAAGGAAATGTGATAACTTTCCATTTCTTAAATAATCTTAGATTCCCTTACTCTTTTTATTCATTTTGTCATTTTAACCATTGTTTTATCTTCTAACAATGTCATTTCGAGTTTCGACTTTGTCTTTTACGCTTGTAACCTTAATTTTAAATTAAAGTTTATGAAAATATGGTAATGGTATTAAATTAAAATAACCAATATACATAAAAGATAACCCATCAAACAAACAAGTTTATATTACATAATTTAGTTTTAACCAAATACAGAAATCTAACAATCTTAAGTTAATTAGATAGAACAAACATATAATGAAGGGATGTAATAGTGACATTAATGAATTCAAAATGAAAATAAAGAAACTTTGGAGATCAGACCAGACCATCAAAAAGAATGTCGATCACCTTCATATTAGCCTACCGGCCCTACCCTACCCTACACTGTTGTCTCTTCATCCACAAAAATTAATTATTTTACCACTTATTTCACAAAGTCATTCCCTCTAAATCCGCTATATATAGTATCACATAGAAGAGTTGCTTCTCATCATCCACTTTATTGTATTACTATTAACTAAACCATGATGAAAATCTCCATTTTCACTCTTCTTTTTCACATTCTTTGTTTGCTTGCATTAAACACCGCACCCTTACATGCAAACAAAGAAGAAGCTGAAGTTCTCTTACAATGGAAGAACAATGGCCTATCATCATCATCTACTTCTTTACTGGATTCTTCCTGGTCTATCAACAACCTCACAAATGTGTGCAGTTGGGAGGGCATTATCTGCAACTCCGCTGGTTCTGTTTCAGAGTTAAATCTACCACATGGGAACATCAGAGGTATACTTGAACCACTTCGTTTTTCCTTACTTCCTAATCTTACCCGCATCAATCTCAATAACAATAGTTTAAGTGGAGTGATACCATCTGCTATCAGCAGCTTCCTTAAACTCACTTTTCTGGACTTGAGCAATAACAACTTCAAGGGGGCAATACCAGTAGAGATTGGGCAGTTGACAGAGCTCAGGTACTTTAGTTGTTTCAGAAACTTTCTGGAGGAAGTGATTCCATTTGAAATTAGCAATCTTCAAAACCTGAGGTACCTGGATCTGGGAATGAATAATCTGAAAACTCCGAATTGGTCTAAATTCCATGCTATGCCTTTGTTGAAGCATCTCAACCTCCGTGCTAATGAGTTCAATTTGGATTTTCCAAAAGACTTGATAACAAGTTGCCCAAATTTATCTTACCTTGATTTGTCAAAAAATCATTTTACCGGTCAAATTCCAGTGTTTGTGTTTTCCAAGCTAGAGAACCTGGAGCACCTTGACCTTGGTAACAATTTCTTCCAAGGACCTTTTCCCATTAGTCTGACCTACTTATCCAACCTTAAATTTCTTTGCCTTTCATACAACAACTTTTCTGGAGCAATTCCAAAAGAAATTGGTTCAATCACCAGTCTTCAAGCATTGAAATTGGCCAATAATTCATTTCTTGGGAATATTCCACCTTCCATCGGAAGCCTTAAACATCTTCAGTTTCTTTCTCTTGAAATGAATCAACTGAATTCTATGATTCCCTTTGAACTTGGGCTATGCACAAATCTTGAGTACTTGTATCTAGATAATAACTTTCTAACAGGCGAGTTGCCTCCCAGCATGTCCAATCTTTCCAAGCTAGTTGTGTTAGATTTAGGTCTCAATAAGTTTTCAGGTCAAATAGTACCACACCTCATTGCCAACTGGACACAATTAACTTTCTTGTTTATAGATAGCAATAATTTCACTGGAAGGATTCCCTTTGAAATTAGTTTATTGACACAACTTCATCATCTTTCCCTGCATATTAACCAGCTCTCAGGTTGCATTCCCTCAAACATTGGGAATTTGAAAAAGTTGTCTGTACTTCACCTTCAGAAAAACCACCTCTCTGGTCCAATTCCTTCAACAATTGGAAATTTGACAGAGCTCAGTCTGCTAGAACTTTCAGAAAACTATCTTAGGGGGCCATTACCATGGGAAGTAGGATATTTAACATCACTATCTGCTGTTTCCATAAGTTCCAACTTGCTTCACGGACCTGAGACCTTATCAATCTTTTGCAATGTCACATCTCTTTCAGTCCTTCTCATAGCTAATAACACATTGAATGGACATATTCCACAATGCTTGGGAAACAACACGAATCTAAAAGAAATTTATCTTGGTGGCAATCAGTTTCACGGGGGTATTCCAAAATCACTCTGCAATGCATGCCACCTTCTTTTGCTTGACCTGTCAAGCAATTACTTGAGTGGTGTTATTCCAACGTGTCTGGGAAATTTTAGCAATCAACTCTCAAATTTGAATCTTGCCTATAATAATTTGCATGGTGCTATGCATAGAGAGTTTTGCAGTTCAACCCTTTTCAAATTTCTTGACCTCTCTCATAATAGTTTGAGTGGTGTTATTCCTTCGTGTTTGGGAAATCTAAGCACAACATTGTTGGTACTTGATTTAAGCATGAATCACTTTTATGGAAACATTCCAGAAGAAGCTTTAAAGGGTGATGTTCTGCAAATTCTCATCTTGCATTATAATGAATTTGAAGGACCATTACCTCGTACTCTGCTCAACTGTACAGCTCTCCAAGTTCTTGATGTTGGAAACAATGGGTTAAATGACTCATTCCCAGACTGGTTAGATGCTCTTCCACAATTGGCAGTGCTCATCTTAAGTTCTAATCATTTTCATGGGGTGATAGGCAATCCTACCGCCAAGATTCCATTCCCTATGCTGCGAGTTCTTGATCTTTCCAACAATCACTTCACTGGACATTTGCCTGAAAATTATTTGCTGCATTTTACTGGGATTATAAATGATATTACTCCTGATTTAGATGTAACATACTCTAGTGACCATTTTGTTTACGTTCATGGAAGCTCTGTAATGCTAGTGGTGAAAGGGTCTGTGTATACCGTGGAAGAAATTCTAAACCTGTACACACTCATAGACTTATCAAGTAACATGTTTGATGGAGATATTCCTATTTCCATTGGAATCCTTGGTGTTCTTCGGCATCTCAATCTGTCTCATAATAGGCTAACTGGCCATATACCATCATCATTGGGAAATCTAACATTGCTTGAAGCGCTAGACATGTCTTGCAACCAGCTCACAGGGGAGATTCCATGGCAACTGTCAAAGCTTGGATTTCTGGAAGTACTGAACGTCTCCTATAATCATTTATTGGGAGCAATACCCCGCAGCAGGCAACTTGATACAATTGCCAATGACTCCTACCTGGGAAACACAGCACTGTGTGGCTTTCCATTGACTCTGGAATGTGAAGCCAGCAGAAAACCACATGTACCGTCACAAGAAGAAGAAGAAGAAGAGGATTCAGGTTTTTTTAATGGATTTTCTTGGCAAAGCGTGACGATAGGATACTGCTGTTCATTTCCATTTGGAGTTTGTGTGGGATATTTTGGTCTGCGATATGGAAAACTCAACTGGTTGCTAAGGAAACTCACATGGAAGAGAGGAAAGGGTTCCAAAAATACTGTTCCAAGAAGAGATGCCAGAAGAAGAACACATTAAATTTGCAAAGGTAATTAAATTAAATTAAAGCTTCATCCTTTTGTTTTCAAAATTCCAACTTTACAATTCAATTTCTTCAGTGACATTTTTTATTACATATTATGTTACCTTATTACATATGCAAGAACACTGTTGCATTTCATATAGGCTTTTTTGGTTGCAGATTAAAGCAGCAGCGTGCGCACAAGTAGTATACCTACACTTCTCAATTGCTTCTACTTATATGAAGTACTACTTCTGTACTATATGGCTTTTCCCTCTTGTTTGTTGTGTTGTTTTCTAGTATTTAAGACTTGTTTTAAACGTCAAAAAATTAGACAGAAAGCAATAATGATCAATGTGAACGGCGTGCATGATTATTCTCAATATCTTAAATATGTGCTTTAATTTATAATGATTATTGTCTTTCGTTCTAAATATCATCTTCCATTCTTCGCAATAAGAGAATCTAACTTAATTATCAAACTGTTGGTGATAATGAACCAATAATCGATTTAATATCTCAAAAGAATATTTATATATACACAAGTATATAAAATATTATTCGATATTTATCCGGAATATATATATACACACAAATATATATATATATATATATATATATATATATATATATACATATATATATATATACATATATATATATATATATATATATATATATATATATATATATATATATATATATATATATATATATATAACGGAACCAACGGTTATATATACATATATATCTACGAAAAAGATATACCAACATATATTAACCGATAATTGGAACTAATAATCCTTAGATTATAAGTCCAATCCAACGAATATATCAAAAGAGGGAGAACGGATTTTTGCTTAGACAGTGCCTTTCTTTCCTTAAAATGCCTTTCTTTCCTTAAAACCTTATTTGCCACCTCCCAAAAGTTTAAACACGAGCTTGAATCAAGCCTTTTTGATCTCGTTTCTAGGAGTTTGATTTGCACACCCCCCACCCACGCGTGAGAGAGCCTCTACGCTATACAATTCTACAAGCTCCAAAAGAGCCCTTGTATAAAAGGGGGGTGAAATCCTCTTTCCAAACCAATGTGGGACAAAGCTCACTTTTACCTTCATTTTTCCAACTCAACGAGTCTACTTTGAGAATCAATATCTCATTCACCCATTATCCGTTTTGAGCGTACAATGTATCAATCTCTTCGTCTCACTACGAAGAACCCGAATCCGCTTTGACCCGACCCAAATCAGAAGTGGACCCCACTGATAATTGTACTACAAAATAGCCACTTAACATGTCAATTTATGCTATTTTAATGCTATTTTTCCAACACAAACCAATTATTCGTCCAACTTGCACTATTAGGAGAGATGATATTGTTTGTCCTTACGGGCTTAGCTCACTAGTTCAATAGGCAATATTTGAGAGAAGAGACCAATTAAGGTTCGAATCTCGGCAGCAACAATGTGGGGTTTAAGTCTATTGACCCTGTCTGCTAAGCCATAATTGAGACACGATCACGGGACTCGGAGTGTGTGGAGACACTTGGGGTTGTTATTGTTTGTTGGAGATTGGTTTTATCCTGGCTGCTAAGCCATTAATATAAGAACCATCACCGAGCTCGGAGTGTGGGGACACTTGGAGTTGTTATTGTTTGTTGGAGATTTATATAGTAATGAGTACTTAAAATTTACCAAGAACTTATTTGATCCTTGTAACCTCCCATTATCTCGATGTTTGAGGGTGGTTTTATTATCACCATTATTATTGCCTCTTTTTTTTTTTTTTTTTCTTCTGGGTGAGTATCGCAGTATAAGCTTATCAGTTGCAACTTGAGTAGTAATTTGTCAACTTCTAAATTAAACCAGGTAGACACGGTTTCACAGGAAAAGAGTGAAGTAAACTCAGTAGATAAATTAAACCATCATCGAACCATTATAAAACTTGCTTTGTGTCCTTAATTACTTTACTCACTTTAATTTCTCACATATTATTTTGTGTTGCTTAACAGTTTCATGCTTACATCCCCGTCCTCCTCTAATAAGTCTATATATCCATCCCCTTCTCCCACCCCCACCCCAATCGTTATGCTGTGAAACCGTATTTACCTTGCAAGGTGGACACGGTTCTATGTTCATAATTACTGAATTATATGTTCATAATTATAAAGCTATATATTCATAATTTTTTAACTTCATATTCATAATTATTGAACTCTATATTCACAATTACAGAACTCTATGTTCATAATTACTGAACTATATATTCATAATTATAAAGCTATATATTCATAATTTTTGAACTTCATATACACAATTATTGAATCTTTAATTTATATTCATAATTACCGAACTATATTTTCATAATTATGTTCACAACTCTATGTTCATAATTTTTGAACTATATATTCATAATTATGAATAGTTTTGGAACCATGTCCACCTTACAAAGTAGACACGGTTCCACAGCATAGTTCCCCCCACCACCCCCCCCCCCCCCCCCCCCCCCCCGACTCATTCTTTTAAAGCAGAGGATCTCGCTGAGGCGACTTTGCCTTCTCCGGTGAGAAGGCGACCGGAGAAGGCATGTCCATCACTTTCTCAGACCGGAGAAGGTGATGGTTTTTTTTTTTTAATTAAATTTTGAATTAAAAAGTTATTACTTACATCTAATAAATGAGGTTTGACTAAGGTGGTGCAAATAGCAATTTGATCACCCATTTGGCTATTTGCACCACCTATTTTTTTATTAGAAATTTTCACCTTTTTACACTTCCAATGAAATTTATACACCGTTTTGACTAAAGGGTGGTGCAAATAGCAACACTCCATTTATGCAGTAGAGTAGGCAAACAAAAAGTTTAGAAGTTCGGGATTTTAAAGATGAATTTAAATATTTATATTTGAGAGAAAACAAATCTATAAAAATCTTAATATAAAAGAGTTTATAAAAAGTTAAAACTGTTAGGATCGATACAGTTCACAACACCAAATTACAATAACAATTTGTACTGGAAATATTGAGAATATTTCTAGTGTAAGATTTAAAATAAATTATACACAGAATTAGACAATTTGAAGAAGAATTCTCTATAGCAAAATGATATTACAATAGGAATTACAAATATAACTCTCTAATTTTACTCTCTGTATTTTGCTATGCTAAAGAATGGATCGAATGGAATGGGATAAATGAATGAAGAGACGCCTATTTATAGCAACCCATGCAATTCTACTCCAGCAAGCAAAAAACCTTGCTCAAAACTTAACCCAAGCTTTTCCCTTTAATAGAAACCTATGCACAAGCTTTTCCCTTTAAGAGAAACCTACGCCCAAGCTTCTCCCCATGCACAAACCTCTCCCAAGCATTTCCCCTTCCTCAAGCCTATGCCCAAGCTAAGCAAACCTCATCCCATTTCCATATTTGACTTTATTATTTACAAAAACTTTTTAAATATCAATAAATTTTTAATACTATTTAAAAGTTTTGATCGAATATCACTCAACTTTTAAAAATATAAATCAAATATTATTAACTTTTTAAAACACTCTAAAATTCTTAATCAAAACTTACCAATGAGGTCCTATCGATTATTATTGCAGAGAAAAAAATATTCTAGACACTAATCTAAATACTTTCAAAGTTTTAAAGTTTATAAAAGTTTGAATGGAATACACCACTTTAGAGAGAAAAGTTAAGAATTATTTAATATGAACATTAATCTATGGTATAATTATTGGACAGATTTCCGACAAAATAAATGCGGAAGGGATGCCACCGCACCCAAGAAAAGAAGCGCTATCTTTGGTTACTAAACAAAAGATGGGAAAAAGAAGTTGATAAAAGAAAAAAGCTGGAAACAAAGAGGGAAAAATGGAGATTCTATGATCCACTAAGTGACTGATCAATAGCAAATTAGCAAGGAAAAAAGAGGTGATAGTGGGATAATAAAGGCAAGAGGATAAAAGATTTAAAGTGTTGAAAATATTAATAAAATTGATATTTTGAGTGGTTATTTTGTAGTATAAATATATGAAGAGTCTACTTTTGATTTGGGTTAAATCAAAGTGGATTGGGTTCTTCTAAATAAAACAAAGAAATCGATATACGCAAATTATGCTTGCATCCCTATGCACCATGCATGGTGCATAGGGATGCAAAAACGACGTCGTTTTGGTTAAAAAACGCGCGTCCCACTTAAAAAAAGAAATTAGGTTCGATTTCCGGCTGGTAGGGAATATCCCGACCGGAATAAGCCGACACCCGACCGAGATGCCTTCGTTCTTTTCTCTTCGTCTTTGCAGGTAACAGGTCGGGTTCCTTGTGAAGAACCCGGTCTGGGTCCGACCGGGTGTTGCCCGAGTGATGGTGTCGACCACCGAGCGGTAGCCCTTTGGCGAGAGAGCTGACAAAGGGCACGTGGCGGCCCTCTACGACGACAGACTGGGCACCCGGGAGGATGACACGTGGTGGCTACGTGGAGGACATGCCGAACGACCGGACTCTTGTCTCCGGCACAGCGGCTATAAATACCTACAGTAGCTACAGTGTAGAGGACTTTTGGACGATCGATAGGTTGTTGTTAGAGAATCCCGACCGCAGTCAGTCGGTACTCAGAGCAACCAAGTAGATTGTACTTAGGACCTTTACCGTGATCAATAAAGACCTTTATTCGCTTTGAGTGATCTCGGGTTCATTTTATATTGCTTACGTATAATTAGCAGTATCATTTTGGCGCCGTCCGTGGGAACCCGTGCGAGAAAGCAACGTCTTGACGAGCACCTGGTCTCTTTGCAACAATGTATCCGTGGGCATACAACAACTTCAGGGCGGATGCGGCAAGCTCATCTGACCATTACGCTACCCAACAGCAAGGTCAGACGGTGGACCTCAATCTCAACCTCTCACCACCGCATCCATCCAACACATACCCGGCCGCCCAACAGCCGGTGAACTACATACAACCGGGATTTCAGACGCCCGGTCAGCAATACCCGCAACCAATGATGTATCCCGGTCAGTATCCGTACCCGGTCCCACCTCAATCGTACGGGTATTGGCCAGGCCAACCAATGTACTACACTCCTCCGGTTGGCTACCCACCGTTCACACCTGCGTACACGGCTCCAGCCGCCGCCCCTCCAGTATACCCGGCCGCTCAAGTTGAGCCGCAGCATCAGCCCACTTCCCGGGCTCGACGCTCGGCTCGTTCGCGGTTGGGGTCGGGGGGTGCCGTTGCGATGGAGGCACCACGGCAGGCCCAACAAGCAGAGGAGG